ATCTGGATGATTGGCGGTCCACCACTGTGCGATTTAGAAGATGTTTTCTTCCTCGCACGACTTCCTTGTGGAATCGATTACCATAAGCGATTTTTCCGGACCGATACGACTTAGGGACCTTCAAGAAAAGAGCGTACTCCTTTTTAAAAGGCCGGCAACGCATCTGCAATTCCCTCCCTGGTGTTGCAGTTGTTCATGGGCGGCGGTAGTCACTTACCATCAGGTGAGCCGCATGCTCGTTTGCCCCCTCTCCTATAAAAAAAATGTATATCTATTTATTGCATTTAAATATTGAATATTTAATATTGGTTTCAAATTAAATAGACTCAATTAAATGTTTTAACCACGGGGAGTGCTCTGAGGAATTGTTCGAATTGATTCCAGCCGCCAAATTTCACCAACCTACATCGCGACAAAACTCACAATCCACACAATGTGTGGATCCAGATGCCTGCTTCCTGGATGCTTGGCAGTCCACTAGAGTGCGTGTTTTCCTCGCACGACTACTTTGTGGAATCGTTTACCACCGGCGAGTTTTCCAGTTCGATACGAATTAGGTACCTACAAGAAACGAGCTTACTCCTTTTTAAAAGACCTACAATTCCCCTGGTATTGCAATTGTTCGTAGGCGGCAGTCGACACCATTAGGTGTACCGCATGCTCGTTTACCCCCTCTTCTATAAAAAAAATGTTAAAGCTTTGATATTGCTTTGAAAAGCGAGTTGTACTTTGGTTTTTACGGTATTTCTAACTTCCTATTTAGATGTTATTTTAATGCAATCGATATTTTTCTTTGATATCGCTATCTGGGTACAAAGAAGAAATTTAAAAAAGAAATGTTCGGTGGTGAGACATAGAGTATAGAAGAATTAAGCTTTAGTTTATTATCTTAAGATTATTGAGAAAGTTGGCTTTTACTTTAATAAGTTTATTTCTTTACCTTTTTGATTTGACAAGGAATATCGGAAGCTCAAGGTGACTAATATGTCGTCTAAAGTAGTTACATTAAAAACTTCATTCTCTATTTTCCCACCCTTAGGTTGAAACTTTATCTCCAAATTATTAAGAGACCACCCATGAACTGGCTGTTCGTGGTAGAGCCATGCTGCAGCTATATTAGTAGTATAGTTGTAGCACGAATGGGTCAGCTCGACCGGGGAAGAACCACGCTCTCACAGAATACCAGCGTAATATAGCAGCTTTACACTGCTGTGTTTCGTATGGTGAGTGTAGAGAACCGGAGACCCTTTTTACTGGAAAAGAGGCATTCCATCTTAATTCTCACTTCTCATCGGTGACAACGCATCTGCATTTTGATTCGCAAACGAGGATAGATGTAGATATCTATGGGACACAGCAACCACTTAACATCAGGTGGACTGTGTGCTCGTTTGTTACCCTATCCTATAAAAACAAAGAATCATTAAAATCAGTTCACCTAGAAAAAGTTCTGAGGTAAGACACATAAAAAAATACAGTCGAATTGAGTACCTCTTCCTTTTTTTTGAAGACGATTAAAAAGAATATACAATCGAATTGAGAGCCTTCTTCAATGAGGGCATCCACGACTTTTTCTGCCACCAGGGCGGCGCCACTTAAAAGTGTGGTATAACGTTTGACAGATTTCATAGTGGTGTTAGTTTGGGGGGGTTAATTTGTTCGAATAATGTCACATTTAATGTTTCTTTCTGTAAAATTAGGTATATTTTATATTATTAATATTAAAAATAAATAAACAACCCCACAGATATTCATAAAAGCAGAATAATAAAAAAAAATAAAAATGTGGCATTAATCAGTAAATTGTTTATTAAGGTCTTAATTGTTTTCGTTATGAATGAACCGCCAAAACAAATGAAGTGACTAATTTGCAAAAACAACATAAAATATTTGTAAAAGGATTAAGTTTTTAAACGGTTTTAAAAATGTATTTTATTGATGTTTAGTAGAAAGTAAGAATGGACGTAAAATTTGAAGCTTAAAATTTTAAATGCGTAGAACATCTAAAGTAAGTATCGCTATAAAAACAGTAAAAGTGACAACCTTATTTGTAGGAATTTATTCAACGCGTACTTAATTATGTACTATTATTTATTCTGTGATTACATCCTACGGCTGAGCACAGACCTCCTCACATTTACTGAAACGACGAAATGTCTGCTGCGCTGTCTCAATATCTACATGTCTTCGGAATATTTTTTTATTTCGCAGACATGCAAATTTTTTCACGTTTTTCTTTAAAGCCGAGCACGTAGTAAATTTGCATTTAAAATTACAAATGTATTAGATTTATATATTTAGATAAACATACGTTTTGATATAGAGCCAAAGACGTAACAAAAAGAGCAGCAAGTATTATATATTATTATTTATTATTAATATTAAGACTGTAATACTTACACATTCGGAATCGCGTACTGGCGCTTAATGGTGTTGGTGACCATTATAACTATGATTAGCGAATAGCGAGGGCTGTTATCTTCTATCTATCTATACATATAATAAAAATGTAAAAAGCAGACGTCTGTACATTTTATATTTTTGTAATAAAAGTGATTGAGAGGTACTAAAAATAAGTAACTAAATACATTTCTACCATTTTTAGAATTTTCTATCTGTCTGTCTGTCTGTTTGTTTGTTAACGTATCACGTATAAAGTACTAATTTATATCATAAGAATCATTAAGGAAAATATAAAGTGTAATATATTTTTTATAATGTATAAATGTATAATAAATATTTAAAAGTGGTAGAGCCACGCGGCAGCTTTTGCTGTCGCACGGATGGGCCGGCTCGAACCGGGGTGGTACCACGACCTGACAGAAAACCAGCGTGAAGTAGAGGTTTACCCATGAAGCAAACTCTGCGTTTCGCTTGGTGAGTGCAGGTGGCCGGAGGCCCTTTTTACTGGAAATGAGGCATTCCATCTTAGTCCTCACGGGTGACAACGCATCTAGATTTGGATTTGTAATAGAGGATAGATGTAGATGTCTATGGGCTGCAGCAACCCATTACCATCAGGTGGACTGTGTGCTCGTTTTGTCACCCTTATCCTATAAAAAAAAACTTCGTGTTACATTTAGTCTTTATTTTATTAAAATCAGTTCATTCAATCAAAAGTTATGATAAATATTCTGAAGTATGAATACGAAGTATAGGTACGAATTTGTTTAACGGTGGCGTTGGTTGAGTCATTAAGTGCATTTTAAACTAATACTATATCATAAATCATAATTAAATTAGGTAAAATAATGTTCTATAATTATATAATTATATCTAAAACGCAGTAAACAAAAGTATTAAAGAACGTATTAAATAAAATAATATACAAAAATATATTAAATAACCTTATTAACTAAAAGCTTTTACAAAAATTAACTTCGCAAATATCCGCGTTATAAAATAAAATGATGTGTCTTACCTAGTATGAAGAAGCACCTCCCGCCCTCCCTCAATTGCGTGCACTATCCCCGTCACCAATAATCCCAGCACCGCTACTTCCAACACCACTACACTAGGCAAGACACACCACTGACGATAATACGACACGTGTTTCACCTCTACACGAGGCATCCTCAGGTGATATAGACTCTACGGTGGCTAACCGCTTCTTCATACTAGGTAAGACACATCATTTTATTTTATAACGCGGATATTTGCGAAGTTAATTTTTGTAAAAGCTCACTTAGCGGTTAGCCACCGTAGAGTCTATATCACCTGAGGATGCCTCGTGTAGAGGTGAAACACGTGTCGTATTATCGTCAGTGGTGTGTCTTGCCTAGTGTAGTGGTGTTGGAAGTAGCGGTGCTGGGATTATTGGTGACGGGGATAGTGCACGCAATTGAGGGAGGGCGGGAGGTGCTTCTTCATACTAGGTAAGACACATCATTTTATTTTATAACGCGGATATTTGCGAAGTTAATTTTTGTAAAAGCTTTTATATAATGGATTTCCGCAAAGTAACGCCTGATTCTATTAATCTTATTAACTAAGTCTAAAGTGAAATAGTTAACCAAATTCATCGATAGATGGCGGTATGGTCCAAATGTAATATAAAAAGGCGTTTTGCTTACTATGCAGACACTGGTTTATAAGTTCTTTTATGTTTTATAATTATAATCATGTACCAATCGCGTCAATTAATCTCTTTTATATTTAGAATTGATTGCTGTTAGCAGCGTCATCTCTCTTTAAATATATACTTATAATAAAAATGGTGATAACATGTTGTGTCTGTTTTTGTACATTGTATAGAATATTTGTCACTAAACCTGTTACTAAAAAAAAAGTTACTGAACACCGCGGTAGCAATGTTCCTGTCACTGATAAAGTGGCATTGGTATTAGTTGACCAGGAGTGCGATAGACGTGACATCGTGTTGCATACACATGACGATCGACTGCCAGGGATTTATGAAACGCATCGATATTATGATGCTCTACAATATCTACAATATACATATATTGTCACGGTGAAAATGGGTACAATTTCACAATTTATCAAGTTAATCCTAATACCAGAGAGACCAATTTTAATAAAAAAATATTTGCTCTGCAATTTTATTCGCACCTGTTACATGTAAGGCATATATCTTCTTGCGTATCTGCAAAAATTTCGGGAGTTGTTTTACCAATTTATAGTGGATATGTATGCGAAAATAGAGACGGAGCGCTTAGTGTATATTATACGCACTAACCAGAGACGTCTGTTACACTGACGTCTAATAAGTGATATTGATACAGTAATGATATAAATCGTTTAATATTTTATTACCTGAATGTCAAATTCTCCAAGTAAAACCTATATACGCGAGCTACGCCGCGGGCACAGCTAGTTTACAATAAACCGACCCTATGTCAATTGATATATAAGCGGTTAATGTTGTTTATTTTGTCGTAGTCGCCTATCGGTCATTGCAGAGGGTGCACGAACACGCAAAGAACGCAAAACAAACGCGATAGTTTCCGAAACTATAGTGATCAGTGAATTTCAAAATAAAAATGGAACTCAATTTTGTAACAACATTAATAAAACACGATGTGAACCATAATGTGAAACAGTGCTTCAAATCGAAAAAGCCTTTTAGTAAGTTATCGGAATAAGCATACATTATAAATATTACATCTTACCCACATTAATACTAACAATGTAACTAGAGTTGTAAATTAAAGAATAACTAATTTTTAGATTACTATCGACAAAAGTATAGATTTATAAACATTTATTTTAAAAGTAGTAATATCGAAATCAATGTTTTTAAAAAGAAACCCAGACAGAGGTCACGATCACATAAAAACATTAGATTAGAGAGTAAAACTTTTCAAAGATATATGATAAAAAATATATTCTAAATTTAAGAGTTATTCAAGATACAATCTATGTATTAATAAAACTATAAAATCAAGTAGGATAGATTATTAATTCCTTTTTCTCTTGAGGAATAATCTGATGATGATTATTAATTTATCTCTAAAGCTTCGAGTTGCCTTTTTAAGCCTAAATTAAAAGCTTGACCTCCTCAACCTTTAACTTTAGACTAAAAAATCATAAAAGAGTGCATGAATATTAATGCCAGACGGACAGTATCTATGTGTTCGGTAGACAATATGCATCTAGGACTAGACAAAAGATAAGAAAAGCAAAATATCATGAATTATGAAAATAACAAGTTTCTAATTTTGTTGCTCACTGCAGCGCCTCGAAACTTCGAGATATAAGTAATGCATCACGAAAACAGTAGGTTGGTCAGAGGCCTTTTCTCACCATTCGATGAAAAAATAAACAAATCGCATTCCTAAACAGGTCCCAACATTGACAGTTCCACTAACGCTCCTTTACCTGACTGTCGCTTTATGTTCTGTTCTTGAATACCATTGATTTATATGTTACATTTATATGTTATGTCTTGTATAACTCAATGTTGAATACTTGATTTTTTTAAATATATTATTGCTATCTTCTTCCCTAGCCCAAAATAGATTGTTGCAATTCTTCTAACACAGTCAAACGCATTCCATATTGGTTTTATATCTGATTTCACCGAATTTATCTTCTCATCAGCTTGTGTATCGGCCTTTACCGATTAAATATAAGTTCAAATTTATACAATACCTCCTAGAGTAGGATTGTTATCTTACATATATACATATTAAGTTGTAGATTTGTAAATGATTTGTAATATACCCAGTGATTTTTACTTAAGTTGCAAATAAATAAAAAAAAATTGTTTCAAATGCACTAAATTAAATTTTAACGGAATTAATGCTGTCCTTTACAAATCCGTTAAAAGCTTACTACAATTTTAATAAATTGCGGTTTTACTACGTCAATATATGCTAAGTCTATGGTTTTTACAGAGTGTGTTTTAGAAAATTATTTGTTTAATCTAATGTTTTTCTACGTACTAGATATCAATAAACGACTTATATCATATCTATTTAGACAATTTTTTTTATAGTATAAGGGTGACAAATGAGCACACAGTCCATTTTTTTTATATTCCGTGTTCCACCTGATGGTAAGTGGTTGCTGCGGCCCATAGACATCTACATCTATCCTCGATTACGAATCAAAATGCAGATGCATTGTCACCCGTGAGTACTAAGATGTAATACCTCGTTTCCAGTAAAAAGGGTCAACGGTTCTCTACACTCACCATACGAAACACGGCAGCATTAAGCTGCTATTTTACGTTGGTATTCTGTGAAAGCGTGGTCTTTCACCGGTCGAGCCGACCCATTCGTGCTACAACTAGGTATACCCACTACTAATATAACTGCAGCATGGCTCTACCACATAAATTTTTTTCTCAAAAACGCGGAGAAGCTAAAAGTTAGCTTAAAATGTATGCCAACAACATACACTGTACATTATTCCGAGGTTTATAGTAAAACCTTATATCATATCATAATTTTATATTTATAATTTTTGAATTGTATAAAATTACTTCCAAATCTAAACAAAAAGTTTTTTTTTATATACAGTGTAATTTCTCTTTATTTTTTACATCGACATTTAAATTTAACATTTAATTAAAGTTTAAATGAAGTAAACAAAATTCGAATGAGCTAACATAATTCCCAATGCAAGTTCAACGAACTCTGTTTTTGTAGTAGGCAAATGTATCTATGCATAATCAACTACAATACAATAACTAGTATATTGACTATTTATTACATGTTATCTATAATTAGGCTGCCTAAAACTAATACGTGACTTGACCGACGTAACGTCGACATCGAATTCCAAATTTGGTTATTTTTGTTGTGTGCTTTGTGCTGTTGTCTTAAATTTCCTTTTTTATTATTACTCTATTTTATATTTTCCTCCAATTTTAATAATCGATGCCTCATACCATTTTTATTTTTTTTTTCCATTAGCAACATTCGTTTAGAAAAATTCTCATAAAAATCAAGTTATAAATTAATGTAAAGCAAAAACATATCATAAACATCTAAGCATAATAAAATTTATATTGGTTAATAGGTTACACAATTTTTTCACACTAAAAGTATACGTAAACCTTATAAATAAATAGAGTGAACTTACTCTTTTAAAACTATTACATTTTCATTAAAAATGCTTTGTTATATTGTTATATAGATAGTGCTGACTGGTGTTAATATTCTTAGGAACCTTATTTAGGGGCAGAACAAATTTCGCCTAAATCAAATTGAAAAATTGATTGTCATAAGACAATTTTTATAAATAACTAGCTGGTACCCGGCGCGATGCTGCCATAAAAGAAATAATTGCGGAAATATCGTTTTAAATTTGGAAAAGTTATATGATAAATTGTTTTATTTTTATTAAACTCAAAATATGTACACATAAGATTTCGAAAGGATAAAACCTACTTGAAAATTTATAAAATGTGTTTGTGTGTATAAAACTGAAATACTTACCATCTTTTTATTCAAGGCTTTCTTCATTGATATTATATTCGGTGTATAGAAGCTATAGTGATTAATTATTATAAAAGATACTCTGTCATCTCTTTTACACACGCTTTATTAAATTTTAAATCGACTTTATTTTCCCATATAACTTTAGGGAAAAAAATTATTTTTCCTGCTTTCGGCATGGATAAAAATTTTACACTGTAATCACACATGTCGTAATTCTAGATCATTTACAAAAATAAAATATCCATCCTTTATCACAGAGACGTTTAACTTCGAGACATTTTTCTGTTTTATAAAACCCTAAATTTATCTCAAAATCTATAGGTCTACAAAATCTACCAAAGAATTGTTCTCATACTGAAAACAATTGTTTGGTGGATATTAGGTAAATATACTACGCATGGTAGAATTTGCGTATCTCTAAACTATAAAATGTATTATAACTGACGATGGTAAAACCATAGTGATCCAAGTGTCATTTTATCAAAATAGTGATTTTGATATGTAGTTATGAAGATCAAATAATTCTTCCCTACGACACTGATTCAAGAGCATTTTTGTATAATTTTCCTTGAAATATTCTATCTTAATTTAGAATTATTGGAATTTGAAAAATCCTATTTTGCCATACTGATCTAAGCGACAAAAGTGCACTTGGATCATTACGGTTCTGATTTTATTAAAATATAACGAAGTGATCTATATACAAACTAGGTAGTAGGTTTACAAATAAATGAAATTGAAGTGTCTGTTAAAGAAAACAAAAACAAATAACAGCTTTTTACTGAATGCTTATGAAAGTAGATACGGTACTTAGAACAAAAACAATTCTTTTTTTTTTGTTCTAAGTACCGTATCTACTAATTTAATTCTATAATTTTATCTGTCTGTTTGTTCCGGCTAAACTCCGAAATGACTGGACCGATTTTGACGGGACAGGGAATTTCATTGGCAGATAGATGATGTTATAAGGAGTAACCTAAGTAAAATAGAAATAACAGGGAGTAACTAAGGCTCCAGGCCGGGGCCGTCCAGCCAGCCATCGGGTGGGGCTGCAGTTGCCCCTCCCCCCCCTGAAAAGCCGGCTCCGGCTAAGCCGGCGACGGGAAAGAGAGGCAAGGCGAAGGCGAAAAAGGGCAAGGCGGCAGCACAGGTGATGGCTGCGCCAGCCCCAGTGCCTGCGGCGAATGGGCCAGCGCCAGCGGCAAGCCAGCTGCTGCCGCCGCCACCGCCCCCCCAGCTCCCTACACCTCCCGCGGCAGAAGCCGGTTGGCAGGTGGTTGGGGACAAACGGAAGGGGAAGAAGGCAGCCAAAAAGGCCAAAGAGCAGGAGCGGCAGCGCCAGTTCAGGGCGCGCAAGATCGCGGCTAGGCTCCGCGCCCCGAAGACCGCAGCTGTAGTGATTACACTACAGCCGGACGCGGAAAAGAAGGGCGTTACCTACCGCGATCTGCTCGCGAAGGCGAAAGAGGCGGTGGATCTCGGGGAGCTCGGGATCACTGGGGGCCTCCGGCTCAAAGTCACCCAGACCCAGTGGTCCTTCACTGCTGGCCGTATGAGGAAGCCCAAGGTCGCTCAGCGAGCTATGGAGAGGGCTATGCTCGGAGTTTCTCTGCGTGATAAACTTAGGAATGAGGATATCCCAACCGAGAGCCGACATAGCCCAACGGATTAGTAAGCTGAAGTGGCAGTGGGCCGGCCATATAGCTCTAAGAACCGACAACCGATGGGAAAGAAAGGTTCTTGAGTGGCAGCCTCGTAGCGGTAGACGAAGTGTACTGCGACCCCCCATGAGTTGGAGTGACGACCTGGTAAGACATGCAGTAAGTTGATGGATGCAGGTGGCTCAGGACCGTGCTTCGTGACATTCTTTGGGGGAGGCCTATGTTCAGCAGTGGACTTATGAAAGGCTGTAATGATGATGATGATGATGATTGCGTAATATTGCGTTCTTTCATAATGTGAAAATGTTTGCGACCTTTTAAATTATTTGAGTTTAAATTTAGGTTTAGTTTAAATATTTGCCATGACTGCCTTGTTTATCATGTTAAGTCTATTACCACCGTACTTAGAAACCTGACCTTAACTTCTTCTGAGTTAAGAACGAAGATCGAATAAGTTAGTGGTTACAGTACGTGAAAGACTATGCGAAGAAGACTGTAATCGACCGAAATAAATTCACACTTGCCTGTCAGAGACCCCTTCTTCGTACATGCATTGAGTTGTTGAGTTAATTAAGCTCGCTATCACGAAAATTTTAATGGCGAAAAAAATTTTAAAGAAAAAGAAGAATGATATAAAACAAAGAAATCCTGCTCCCGATAATTTGAGAAATTTTGTTTCTGCTACAGTGATCCAAGAGTTCTTTTTTTGTGTAAATCCAACATTTTGCTACACTTAATATAAAAAAGTTAGATAAAACTTGTTTTTAATTTTATTCCAATACATCAGGGTTCATTTTGATAAAGATTAACCATTAACAATGCATTAGATTTTCTACAAAAGGTCTAAACGCGTTTCCCTTATTTTTTCACAAATATGCAAATGTGATTTGGATCACTATGGTTCTGTCATCGTTAACTGAAGTCGAGTCTTTGCTGAACAAAGTCTCGGATTGGGGGCGACTAAATCTAGTCCAGTTTAATCCTCAGAAGACACAAGTTTGCGCGTTTACCGCTAAAAAGAACCCCTTTGTCGTATCTCCTCAGTTTCAAGGCACTCCCCTTCTTGCCTCAGCCAGTATCGGTATCCTCGGAGTCGACATATCGAGTGACGTGCAGTTTCGTGGTCACTTGGAAGAGAAGGCCAAATTGGCCTCTAAAAAGCTTGGCGTGCTCAGCAGAGCGGGACAGTATTTCATGCCGGCACACCGCCTGCAACTTTACAAGGCGCAGGTTCGGCCTCACGTGGAATACTGTTCCCATCTCTGGGCAGGGGCTTTATTAAATTTTAAATCGACTTTATTTTCCCATATAACTTTAGGGAAAAAAATTATTTTTCCTGCTTTCGGCATGGATAAAAATTTTACACTGTAATCACACATGTCGTAATTCTAGATCATTTACAAAAATAAAATATCCATCCTTTATCACAGAGACGTTTAACTTCGAGACATTTTTCTGTTTTATAAAACCCTAAATTTATCTCAAAATCTATAGGTCTACAAAATCTACCAAAGAATTGTTCTCATACTGAAAACAATTGTTTGGTGGATATTAGGTAAATATACTACGCATGGTAGAATTTGCGTATCTCTAAACTATAAAATGTATTATAACTGAAGTCGAGTCTTTGCTGAACAAAGTCTCGGATTGGGGGCGACTAAATCTAGTCCAGTTTAATCCTCAGAAGACACAAGTTTGCGCGTTTACCGCTAAAAAGAACCCCTTTGTCGTATCTCTTCAGTTTCAAGGCACTCCCCTTCTTGCCTCAGCCAGTATCGGTATCCTCGGAGTCGACATATCGAGTGACGTGCAGTTTCGTGGTCACTTGGAAGAGAAGGCCAAATTGGCCTCTAAAAAGCTTGGCGTGCTCAGCAGAGCGGGACAGTATTTCATGCCGGCACACCGCCTGCAACTTTACAAGGCGCAGGTTCGGCCTCATATGGAATACTGTTCCCATCTCTGGGCAGGGGCTCCCCAGTGCCAGCTCCTTCCACTTGACCACATCCAGCGCAGAGCGGCTCGAATCGTCAACGACCGAGCCCTTTCCGATCGGCTCGATTCATTGGCACTGCGAAGAGATGTTGCATCCTTTTGCATCTACCATGGGGAGTGCTCTGAGGAATTCTTCGGATTAATCCCAGCCGCCAAATTTCACGAACGCACATCGCGGCAGAACTCCCGATACCATTCACACCATCTGGATGTTTTCTTCCTCGCACGACTTCCTTGTGGAATCGATTACCATCAGCGATTTTTCCGGACCGATACGACTTAGGGACCTTCAAGAAAAGAGCGTACTCCTTTTTAAAAGGCCGGCAACGCATTTGCAATTCCCTCCCTGGTGTTGCAGTTGTTCATGGGCGGCGGTAGTCACTTACCATCAGGTGAGCCGCATGCTCTTTTGCCCCCTCTCAATCCTAGTGTTAAGATTTGTTATTCCTATTTATGAAGTAATTATAAAACCAGACTATATTTTTGTTACAGTTAGTAGAAAAGAAGAAGTAATGGCGATTAAAAGTAAATTCCCCACTAAGATACCGGTAAGAAGCTTATTTTTGGTTTGTAATCAAAAATTTTATGCGTGTCTCTTCGTCTTGCTACATCACCTAATTGTTGTTGCAGTTAATTGTTGAGAGATATCATAAAGAACGAAATTTACCAACGCTGGACAAAACGAAATTTCTTGTGCCAGAAGATATTACAATGTCACAATTCCTCGTAATTATAAGAAACAGGATAAAGATAAAGCCAAATCAGGTAAAGTATATCAATTACTAAAGTATTAGTACCTATAGTTAAGATGTATAAGTACCTACAATGTACCTACATTTTGATGTTCATTAGAGATAAAATCATACACTTAGAACCTAAGCTTATGAATTAAATACTTAGACTTTGACTTACTAATCATAGTATGTTACGAAGTGTGAATTTTTAATGATTTTCCGATATTTGTTAAGTTAATTAATCACACATAAACAGGTAGACGTTACGGATTGGGTTAAACGATATGGCCGCGGTAAAATGAATATTTCAGCAGTGCGATTATGTAACCCTGGTGGGAATCATTGCCGGTGGGAATTCTTCCATGACAGCGTTGTTTTTTCATTATAGTCGATACCCCTTACACTTTGAGCCTAAAGTAAGATATAAATATAAAATAAGATAATTATCATTGAGTTATATGTACTACGTATTAGGGAAGCCATTCCGAACATTGACTATGTTCAACTGAACTGTAGTGCAATCCATACATATACAAACTAAATATTGCGTAAATGAAAGATTTGTGAATTCCATAAAATAATTATTATTACATTTTATTTAGAAATATGTTTGTTTAGATTAAATTAAGATATTTTATATTAAATTCTTATATTTATTTTTTATTAATATCTTATTTTATACTTCATGCGCGACTACTACTCCCGCGCATGCGCGAAGACATAGAGTAGGACACAATTTTTGTTTGGAATTGCTTCTCTAGTACGTAGTACATATAGCTCAATGATAATAATACCTTTTCTACCGTCTTCAAAAAGGAGACGGTACTCAATTTGACTGTATGTTCTTTTTTTTACGCTTGTTACCTCATAACTATTTTCTGGGTAAACCGATTTCGATGATTCTTTTTTTGTTTGAAAGCTGGTGCTTCTCATGTGGTCCCATATAAATTTAACAAAGACTGACGAATATTTTTTGAGATATTTTTAATAATTTATATTGAAGTTGGTTGAAGGCAGACGTTGTTCTGCCCTTAACGGCGAACCTTTGTACTATAAAAATCCTTAAATTCGCAATAAAAAATACTAAGGATCGCTTATCGGGATAAAAATTATCCTATCTCTCAAGTTGGACCAAACTGCACAAAGTGTGCAAATTTCAATAAAATCAGTTCTGTAGTTTACGAGTTCATCGCGGACAAACAACGTGACACGTAATTTTTTTTATATAAAGATTAATCAATACAATCTTAAGATTATACATAATTTACACAATTCGATGAAACCCATAACAATCATAGCGAAGCCGACCACGATTTTCACCAGAGTTTAACAATCGCACTGATGTTTTCACACGAAACTAGTTATAAAGTATCTGTGTATTAGCAAAATTTTAGCTCAGCGTAACCCAAAGAGTATAGTAATGCGTAACCTTTAGGTTTGCGGCGCTGTCGGCCACAGATTCTAATGCCTGCAGGAGCAAGTATATAATGAGGATCAGTAAAGTTATAGAAAATTCAATAAAACTAGTATCCATGTTATTCTTTATGAGATAAGAATTATATATCTTTTTGAATTAGCCAAATCGGACCATTACTTACGAAGATATTAAGTAATAAACATAGGCCGTTACTGTCGCTAAAAGTCAATATACGCAGGTCCGCGTGACGTCACTGTGACGGAAACGAACGCATCATAGTAGTACATACATGTATTCTGTGGTAGTTCACGATTCGATGGAGTGCGGAGACGCGGTTGAGCACTATATTTAGCAATTTATTTGAATAAAGCGTTGTTACCGTATAATTTTGTGATTGTTTAAGTATTAAAAGTACATAATATGAGTGCTAATAAAGTAGAAGCTGGTTTTGTGCAAGCTCAATCAGATAACCTTCCAAAAGTGGATTCTTTCATGGTATTTGATTATCTAAGTAATCATTCTAAGTTCACCAGCGCTGAAATCCGTGGTTGGAAACTACAAAGGTAAAGGTGCTGCTTATTTATCTACGTTCGATAACCGGCTTGTTCGGGATATTTTTCGGAAACCGGCTTGTTCAGGAGACTGGAAGTAGTCTAGTCTGCGCGCGAGACGATTCGTAATGACTCTCGAAAACAGCACGTAGACGCGGCTCAGAAGGGAAATCGGTCTGTAGTTCTTCAAGAGAGCATTGTCACCTTTCTTGAAGAACAAGACCACCGCACTTCTGCTCCACCATTCCACCATGGAGGACGGAATCAAAGAGCTTCTGAAGGACTTCATGTACCGGTTTTCAGAAGTTCCGCTGTAATTCCATCCTCGCTTGGGGCCTTGCCGTTTTTCAGGTGCTGGAGAGCCATTCTAATTTCGCTCATACTAACGTCCGGGATATCATCGGAATAGTGTCGGATAAGACTCGCTCTTGGATCGTTACTCACACTTGCGTTTAGCTCCAACGATGATGTGTACAGCTCAGTTACTACTGAAGATAAAAATACTGATAACACCAATTCAAATCAGTTTTTCCTAGCAGTTGTGCAAAGCCTAAAGGAAAATCCTATCAAAAATCAGTTATCAGTATACGTTACAAAGAATCAATATAAAAAATTGTCCTTGCATAACCTCATTCATCAATACAAAAATGAAGGCAATAATATAAATAGTGCAGATAGTTTTATTGATTATTGTTCTACTAAAATCATGCATGTTGAATGATGAAGTTTCGAATTTAAAGAGATGGAAGGAATACTTTGAAAGCGTGTTTAAGAGTGAAGAGTCGTCTGAAATAAGTGAAATAGAAATTCCGGAAGAAGTGGAGAGAGGTAGGGAGATAAGTGTAGATAAAATAATGAAAGCAATGAAAAGCATGAAAGCAGGTAAGGCAGCCGGATATGATAGAGTATCACTCGAAATGCTAAGGGCTGGTGAGGGTGTGGTTGCAGGCCTGCTGTACACCTTGTTTAATTTATGTTGGGAACTGAAGCGGGTACTGGAAGACTGGTGCAAAGCCGTTATAGTCCCAATATATAAGGGAAAGGGGTCGCAGTAGGACTGTAAACTACCGTGGTATTAGCTTGCTTAGCATTGTGGGTAAACTGTATGCTAAGGTGTTAATTGAAAGAGTTATGGAAGAAACTGATGGAAAAATTTGGGATGTGCAAGCTGGATTTAAAAAGGGGATGGGGTGTACGGATCAAGTCTTTTCCATGCGCATGATAGCGGAGAAGTTTTTGGCCAAAAACCAGAAAGTTTTTTGTGCGTTCATGGACTTGGAAAAGGCTTATGACAGAGTGGACAGGAATGTGTCATGGCAAACACTGAACTCATTTGGGTTGAGCGCTGGCTTGATACAGGCATTAAGGTCTCTTTATAGGGACTCTAATGCTTGTGTCAGGATCAACGGGGTCTACTCGGACTGGTCTGGCATTCATAAAGGTGTCAGACAGGGATGTTTAACCTATTTATGGACAGTTGTTTGCAAACTTTGAAAGTTGAAGAATGTGGGTTAATAATGGGTGAGTCAACCGTCAAATGCCTTTTGTACGCCGATGATCAAGTCATATTTGCATCGTCGGCGGTCGAGTTGCAAATGATGGTTACTTTAATGAATTGGTCATTGAAAGAAAGGGGTATGAAAGTGAACGCAAGTAAGACGAAAGTGATGGTTTTTGAAAGAGAAGAAAGTAAAACTTTATGTGAAATAAGAATAGAAGGGGAGTTGATTGAGCAAGTCGATGAGTTTGTATATTTGGGATGTTTATTTAGCAGGGATGGTAGATATGATAAGGATATAGAACGACGAGTGAACGCAGGAAATAGAGTGAATGGGGCTCTACACGCTATTATGAGAAGTCAGAATGTGTCAACTAAGGCACGTATGGCAATTCATAATGCTGTGTTAGTCCTTACTTTTATGTATGGTAGTGAAAGTTGGGTCTGGCAGAAGAAGCATGAGAGTAGAATAAATGCTGTAGAAATGCGTTCCTTAAGGAGTATGCTAGGGCTAAATCTGAATGACAGGGTGAGAAATAGTGTGATAAGAGAAAAGTGTGGTTTGCAAGATGACGTTGTGACAAGGATTAAGAAAGGAATGCTTCGGTGGTTTGGTCATGTAGAAAGAATGAACGAGGAAAGAGTGACAAAGCAAATTTATGTTGCAGAAGTGAATGGCAGGGTCGGGAAGGGACGCCCTAGACGAAGGTTTATCGACCAAATCGGCGATACATTAAAAATGGGCCAGATTAGGAGTACCCTTAACCGACGAGCGTGTATGCGTAGACATATGGATGTAAAAGAGGCGAGAGAGGTGTGTCAGGATCGCGCCAAATGGTAGTCCGTAGTCTCAGCCTACCCCTCTGGGTGACAGGCGTGAGTATTTATGTATATAAAATCACCATAGAGAAATATCACAAAGCAGAGGAAGCAATAGTTTGTCAAGCTAGTTCACCGTTATGGCATGAGTTAAGGTATTGTAGAATAACCGCGTCTAAAGTTCACGAAGCCACACATTGCAAGACTCCTGATGGTGCTTTGATTGAACAAATATTTGGTGCCTCTGTACCAGAGACTCTGTCTATGAAAAGAGGCAAACGATTGGAATCCAATGTCAGAGCAGAAATAGCCAAAACAAGGAAAGTAGTTATTGAAAATTGTGGTTTCTTTTTAAAACCTGATTGGCCTAATTTAGGTGCTTAGGTTATTTGAGTCTTGACTCTCACACTCTACTACTTCAATAGAATGCAACAACAGGTCTTCGTGTCCAATATCTTTACTTAAAACTCTTTCAAAATATCGAAGTCGAGTCTTTGCTGAACAAAGTCTCGGATTGGGGGCGACTAAATCTAGTCCAGTTTAATCCTCAGAAGACACAAGTTTGCGCGTTTACCGCTAAAAAGAACCCCTTTGTCGTATCTCCTCAGTTTCAAGGCACTCCCCTTCTTGCCTCAGCCAGTATCGGTATCCTCGGAGTCGACATATCGAGTGACGTGCAGTTTCGTGGTTACTTGGAAGGGAAGGCCAAATTGGCCTCTAAAAAGCTTGGCGTGCTCAGCAGAGCG